CCTTATTCAGAACCTGAGTGTTGGTCTTAAACCGTAGTCTATACACTTAAACACGCGTGCTTCATACAGCCTTATTCACACGAAGGTTTTGATTTTCCTTGGTGTACACTTACACGTATATAAGAGGTTAAATTTTTAAGCTTTAAAACAATTCTCTTTCTCTCTCTCTCTCTATTCTTTCTCTTTTTTTTACGTAGAATTTCTAAACTTTTCGTTTTCCAACTCACTTCCAATCGAGTAGAAATTACGTGTGTGGTTTCTACATTTACATGTTTGTATGGCATTTTCATCTGACAAAACAAATTTTACCATCTCAAAACCAAAGCTAACAATTTGTTTATGTACTAGTCCAAAACATAAGCAAATGGGTTTTTGGTTTAGTTGTTTTAGCCCAAAGCTATCTTGTGTCCACTGTGGGAAATCGAACCCCGAATTTTGGCATTGTAAGTCTACAGACTTATCACTGTCCCACTAGAGGACAAATGGGTTTTTGGTTTGGTTGTTTTAGCCCAAAGCCACATTGGGCTACAGACTTACCACTGTCCCATCAGGGGACAAATGGGTTTTTGGTTTGGTTGTTTAAGCCCAAAGCCATATTGGGCTACAGACTTACCACTGTTCCACCAGGGGACAAATGGGTTTTTGGTTTGGTTGTTTTAGCCCAAAGCCACATTAGGCTACAGACTTACCACTGTCCCACTAGGGGACAAATGGGTTTTAAACATGCAAGTGAAAGAGTAAAGACTAAAAGTACCCCATGCAAGGGTTTATTTCACATTGAAGGTCCAGTATACTTGTGTAACGTCTAAAAAAATAAAGAACACTTTTATATCAAAATTGTTTTAGAGCACTTATGTGCAATGTCCCCATATAATTATCATATTTATTTCATAACAGATTTTAAAATTCTATTTCACATCACGTATATGAATATGGAAATAACATAGTTTAAATATATCATGAACCACTACACTACACTCTTTATTTTGATATACTGCATGCAGAAATATGTATACTATTCTATAATATGAAACATCCATACTTCTAATGCAGAAGTCCTTTAACTAAAAATTGCTAACAGACAATAACAAGCTGAACAACAAGAGCTGCTTATGTTTTCAGAAATTCCCTTTTACTGGGACAGACTGATGTCACAAAACAATTAAAAGGAAGTGAAGTTTACGACTGATAAAACAGTAAAAAATACAAGGATCTTTACCACATTTCTATTTACATCTTAAATCTTCAAGTCCACATCTTGGAAAACCTCAGAGTAAATATGTTCATAATTATCTTAATTTTCAACACATAACTTTGGAATCAAACTACTTTGCACAAAGTAACAGACTTAAGATAAGACCCAAAACTCGGGGGCTTTCAAACAGTTCACTATTATTCTCATAAAGAAAGTGCTCGAATTTTGGGTCTTATTTTACGTCTATTACACTTTATATGTGATCCTATGTGCCGACTCTTTTATCAAAATTGCACAAAGTAAAGTACTATACTTCAATCATACCTAATTTACTTTGAAACACATCATAACATTCTTCAAGAAGTAACAACTACTTAACTTATATCTAATAATGATGTATTCATTATTTTTAAGGACAAAATGATGTCCAAAAACTATCATAGCTGAAAATTAAATATAGAAGTAAATTTAATGAATAAGACCAACAGTTTTAAAAAATTACACTTTGTTAAAAGATTAATGCTGCAAAACCAAAGCATTCATCTATAACAGAACCAGCACTTGGCTAAATATTAACCTAAACTTAACCCTATTTCTATGACAGTAGTATCAATTTTAAATTACCCAGACTTAGTAACTAAACAAGAATTTGTTTATATCTGACAATAATCTGTCACCTCATGAAAACAAATTGTAAGAATAATTTGACATATACTGTAGAACAGCAACAACAAAAAAAAAATGTTAGCTTGTCATATGTGGGAATTTTGTATTCTATACATAAATATACAATTGAATTGACAAAAAATGAATTGAGAAAAAATTATACTTGACAAGAGCCTGACTTTTGTATTATACACTTTGTCACAGATGTCAGGGAAGAATAAATAGGTACATTCTCTCCACTCTGCGAAATATCTAGGTAATTTTTGATAATTATCAAAGACAATTTTTTTTTATTTTGCTAACTATTTATATAAGCAATTTGATAGACATTGATTCAAGATATTATTAAATAATAAACACAGAATCTGTAAACACCAATCAGGAATTTCAAATGAGGTTAATAATCATATTAAAAACAAAACGTTTTGCTTTGGCTTGCATTTCTGAAAACTTATGATGTCAACGAAACTTTATTCAATTACAATTTTAATCTTAAAAAAAGGAAAATTGAAGGTAGTCTACACTAGCATTATATTTGTAATTACCTGTCACTATCCAAAAACCAGATCAAATTGAGTTTAATAAAGAAAAATCAACGAACAATGGTTCAAATATATCTAAAAATACTTTCATCCACCTGCCACCTTACATTTTTTTTGTCGAGATTTTGTTTCCATGGAGAGCTTTTTTTTTTTTTTATAAGATGTTGTACATTCTTTGTGGTAATTTCCCATACTTTATTACCATGGATACCCCCCTCCAATCCTTGTTTTACTTAAATAAATTTCTTTATATTTTCTTGTTTTCAGAAACCTGTTTAGGTCATTGTTCTATAATGGAATTTCTTGGAAAAACACACGAGGGAGTACTGTTTCACTATAAAAATTAAGAACAAACTGTAGATGTATATAAGTATTACTGTTCCATACAGTGTGGTAGCATCGTAGAACTATAAATAACGAACCACATACTCCTCCACATGTATCTCAACATTACTACCCCTGTTAGTCTACCGAATCCGTCAATACACGTGTTTATTCAAAATAAATATAAATTCAAACTCCACATCAAAACATTTTATATACTCTTGAATGAGTATTCTTTATGGACCTATCACAGAAAAAAAATACACAAACCTTAATTGAAAACATAATATATATTTAACTACAAAACTAATTTCATCAAAATATACACTAACATTCAGTTTAATGCCTTCTTATTCAATTCTATTTGAAGGGTCTCTTACGATTACATCAGAATTTTTAAACATTTTAAAACAGTAAGACACTATCTGTTGCATTTCTTTTACAAATCTTATGGTACTGTGCTTTAGTTTATCATTTAAGATATTTAACTGTTTAAAAATGTTAACCAGGAAGGGCAAATATTTGTTAAAATAAATATGTATTTTTTACTTGAATCAGATAATATTCACAAAATCTAAAGATTATAAAAATTGTAAGATCATACTTATTAAATACTTCTTTAGTACACCAATTTCTATAATCAATAAATTGTTTGTAAATTATATACAAGTTTATTTTTCACCATTTTGGTGTCTTTTATAAGACTAATAACTAATAAACACAAACTGTGAAACTGATACAGTTGTATCGCATTTCATATGCTGACAAGATAATGTATATTGTTTACGAGAGAAAATTTACACAAAAAAATTTCTTTTAATAGTTACATACTTATTTCTCAATATTCAAAATCCACAAAAAACTGACAGTTTTATAACTGTTTTAATCACCATTTGGTAAACCTACAATCATGATGAAATATTATCTGTCCAAATATAAGATATTTTAAGTTATTTGGTTATTAAAATATATATAAGGATATTTCAGTAATGCCTACAAATATAAACATTTTAATGCATTCTTTCTTTCTTTACATTAATAGCATACAAAAAATATATAATTCACTTTCTGCACAAAATCTTCTATCAAAATACCCAATTTTTGTTTGTCAAAATATTATTTTAGTTGTTTGATATTCAACTAATGAAATTATACTGAAATAATTCATGTGTGTGTAATGATTGAATTATCACCTAATACACAACAATCTATGAATATATTGAAGTTTATTTTAATTTATTCTGTAACCTCAGTGTATCAAAACCAAGGAAGCATGTCAATGTGTAATAATTGTAAACATATTATCATTTCTAAAAAGATATTATACAACCATTTTCCTTTCAATAGGTCAGTTTATACACGAGTTAGTAAAACAAAATTCAATACAGTGTATTCCTTAAGATAAATTTATAATCAACATCAATTAGGCATAAATTAAATATTAAATCACCTGTACACGTGTAGACTTCTTACCTGAATCCAGCAAACTTTTCCTTCAATAAAGATGCATGTGTTTTCTTCTTTTCAGCAACTACAGAAGTTTCTGAACAAACATCTTGTGTAGTGGGACTATCACCAACAGGGTCAGGGCTCTGTGGTTTATATCTTTGATCTTGGTTTTGATTCATTTTGCCAGTTAAAAAAAAAAGAGATTCTTTGCAACTGGAGATTTTTAAACACACATCAATCTGATGTCTGGAAAAGAAAATAACGCTTCTAAGAACTGTGATCACAAATAATGTGGTTTGTTATTATTTCAAAAAACAAGTCCACGTGTATGACATAAGTACTAAAACAATAAAATATATATAATCTTTTTAACTTTTAAATATATCAAACTGAGACATTGCATGCCAAATAACAATCATTTATTTGAAACTTAAAGACAATGAAACTTCAGTAATAAAACTTTTCACTAGAAAGACCAACCAAATTAAATTTTTTGTTTTCTATTATACTTGTTTTAACATATAATTATAACAATTCACTAAAATTTAATCTGGGATCTAATACTCCATCATAATTGAAGTAATAAAATGTAATTACAGAAGTACAGACAAAATAAGAATGCATGAACAAATAAATATATGAAATTAAAACTTTAATGTGAAAATAATGCTTAGAACTATTTACGAGACCACTACTGAAAACAAAAACATGAAACAGAAATGTTTAAAAGACAGAAAAATAAAATTTAGGTATGTTTATCAATAAAAATGTCATGTAAGACAATCTAATATTTTAAGATGAACAAATTTTAACAAATAAAAGAATAAGCAGTAGTTATAATATCCTAATGGTTCAGAAGGAACTGACTGCCAAAAATGTTGGTATTGTATATACTAATAACACAAAACTTTAATATCATGAACTTAAACACTAATAAATAAATATCACAAGTTTAAATCCTAGGCTGTACTTCTGGATGGAATGTGTGTGTGTGTGTGTGTGTGTGTGTGTGTGTGTG